TGAGTTTGAACATGTTGTCAAAACTACAACGTTAGGGAAAAGCCCTGGAACTGAAGGCTTCACTTTACTTTATTATAAACGCTTTCAAGATATTTTGGCACCTCATTTCTGTTCCTATGTAAATTCTATTAATTCTATGTCTCCCTTGCACCCCAAATCTTTATTGGGTCAAATAATAGTTATAGCTAAACCTGACAGGGATCCTTCCTGTTGCGCAAGCTATCATCCAATATCTTTGTTAAATATTGACCTAAAACTACTGTATATGTTAAAATTCTTCCAAATAGATTGTCTCTCCTTATCCCTTCATGGAAACACCCAGACCAAGTTGAGTTTATTCCAGGTAGGGAAGCAAGAGGTAATGCTCTCAAGACTGTTCATTCAGCCAAACATCAGAGATTTCCAGGGCTGCTCTTGTCAACTGATGCCAAAAAGGTTTTTGACAGAGTAGCCTGGGATTTTCTACACACTACTTTATCACACTTAGGACTAGTTTCCAGAATGATGTCATGGATTTCACCACTATACGATAATCCCACGGCCAAAGTCAGAATGAATGGTACCTTGTCCCAAGCGTTCACGCTTTATAACGGAACATGCCAGGCTTGTCCACTCTCTCCCTTACTTTTTGCTCTTTCATTGGAATCCTTCCTGGCCACTGTTCATCAACATTCTGATATTCAAGGGATTGTTACTCCTGCAGGTGAATTAAAAATAGCAGCATATGCAGATGATGTCTTATTCTATGTGCGTAACCCAAGAACTTCCTTCCCACAATACCATATACCATTAAATAGGCAGGGAATCACAAATATAACTGTTGAAAGGGTTTGAACAGATCTGTAGGTAATCTAGAAAACTCTTTTATCGACTAAATACTAGGGACGCAAAAACATATCACCCGAAAATTGAACAAAGCAAATTGCCGAAAGTGCCATCTTTCCGATGAAATTGTGGTGCATGTCTGGTCTCTCTCATTCCAGCTGGGCACTGCTCTGTGCCTCCTCTGACACAGCGCAGCGTCCAGTAGGGAGGAGAGAAACTGTCAGAAGAGGCCAAGCAGTGCGGGGGAGCAGAGCGCTGTGAGCGCTGTCCACAAGAGGCCGGGCTCACCCCCCACACTGCCCTGCTCAAATCAGGATAGAGAGCAGTGTGAGGGCAGAGACAGCTTTCAATGCTGTCACAGGAGGCCAAGCTCTCCTCCTGCACCACCCTGCTCAGCCTCCTGTGACAAATCAGGATGGAGAGCAGCGCTGTGTGTACGGAGACAGCTGTCACAAGATGCTGAGCCGGCAGTGTTGAGGGAGGAGTCAGCTGTCAAAATAGACCGAGCTCTCCTCCCTCACAACCGGCGCAGCCTCCTGTGACAGCGAATCAGCATGGAGAGTGGGTACAAGCATCCAGCGATCAGTGATCGCTGACTGCTTGTAAATAATTGAGGACATAGCATGTTTACGGTGTCCTCAATTGTGAATGAATGGGAAGTGCTATACATCACTTCCTGTTCCTTCATGATTGTGGATATAGTAAGCATACTATCTCCACAAGTTATGAAAAAACAGGCACACTCGGTATAGAGGATTCCTGTTCATTTAGGAACTCTGTGTCCTCAATCTCTTTTTCTATTTTAAAAGGGAAATATCAGGGATCTGTTTAGACCCCGATATTTCCCCAGAGCCCCTGACCGTAAAGTAAAAAAAAAAAAACATTTATTAAAATAAAATATAAAAAAATAAAAAGATAAATAAAAATAAAATATTTTAAAAGAATTTAAAAAGTTAGGAAAAAATAACTAAATACCAATTAAAGGGTATCTATGGTCAAAAACTAAAAATAAATATTTATTTCTATATTGAATTTCCATAGGTTCTATCCTACTCCTAAAAACCATACTGATGTAGAAGTTTGTAAACTTACTTATTAAAGACATTCAGGGGATTTGACAAAAAATGTGCAGTGCAGTGACAAAATTTCACTTAGTCCTGTGGATATGCACTTTTTTGTGTCACCACTCTAATGAAGCCTGTCGTTTGAACTACAACTCAGCGCCTGAACTTCCTCTAAGGGAGGTGGAATCACAGCTAATACACACAAACTCAAAAACATACACACACACACACACACTCACACAAACACACCCCATGTGGGCATAAAAAATGCTTGATCAAATAAAATATGATGCAATCAGTGCATAAACATAATGAGACAGGCAGATATGTTTTAAATAAAACAATATGCAATTATATACTTTTCTGTAAAAATGCAGTATATATGGTGAAAATGCAGGATTTCAAAATAACAATGATACGGATCAGGCATGAACTTCTACTGTGGTGTCATGAGTGGGATATGCAGTCTTGAAAAATTGAGAATAAATCACATCAAGGAGCAGAGAAAGAGACGCAAAGCACACTAGGAATCCAGGAAGTTGATAAAAATGATGGGCAGTCAGAAGGCAGCACTCACTACATAAAAGGGATTTTTTTCAAGTAAGCTTTGATCTCATTATGAAAAACAGCTATAGTAGGTATTCCAATGCTGATGGTATAACAGGATAGTGTATGCTGTGACTTTAGAACTCCTTTAATGTTACCTTTTTGTTAGAAGAAAAAAATCCAATAAAAGCATTTTTGTTATTGACTTCTGAAGAATGTGTATGCAAATTACTGACTGCCTTTGTTTGCAATGGGCAAATTCATTGTATGGTGGCTGTGGATGCAGTGCACACTTCAGTATTTAGTGTTGAATCAGTTTTTATTAAGTTTCATAAAAGAAGATTCAGACAATGCACATAATGGCTCAAACATTAAATCACAGTGTTGGGATACAATATGAGGGAGGGAAACTCTCATTGGCACAGCGTTGACATCGTTCAGTTTGCCCGACTCGCCGTAGTTGGTTAATTTATATGAGCACAGAAAAAGGAACAGAAAAACCAACATTACACCGAATCTGTACGAGTGCTGTGCTCAACCTTTTGATCAAACATTTCCAGGAGCACCCTGTAGGGCCACCTGATCCTGTGCGATTTGGAGCTAACCTCTTTAATAGCATATATTATAATCTTCTCGTGCACCGTCTGACTTTGCAGTCAGATTAGAGAAGCATTTAAACAGAGAAAAAGCGGGGAAGACAGGATAGAAGGAGAAGGACGGGGTTAAGGAGGGAAGGCTGGGATTACCCCCAGGGTACGGGGGGAGAGGGTAAGGGAGGGAATCAGGGAGGGAGGGGCAGGTATCCAAGGGAGAGAGTAGCAGAACAAAGAGAGGAAGAAGGAGGTAAAAGAGCTCGTCCGCCCTCTAGTGGCGGAGCGACAGAAAAACCTTCCGTGGACCCAATACAAGGTCCAGAAAGCACTAACGGCGTACAAAATGTCAGCGAAAAATCTCACTGACGGCCTAAGTGGGGGTAACATAGCAGGCCCATGGATCGGCTCCCGCTCCAGGGCTGTTAAACTCAATATAAACATCCTATCTACAGGCTATGTATAAAAGTATCAAAAAGGGCATATATAACAGAACATATGAAGTTAATAACGATAAAATATAACATAACAGCATAAAGGACAGCAGCATTCTTGGTCGGCAGCCGCTGACAACTCTCCAGGTGCACCACAGGGTATCGACCTTCATGATGGAAGGTCGCTCAGAGAGCGAAATACAGCTGATTTGCACTGTGTTCAGTGCCCTGTGAGCGGGAGACGAGTTAAATCACGTCTTACCGCTCCATGCGCCTGGCCACGCCCCCCCACACTTCAGTATTTAGCTATATGTTAATGCCCCCGAATTAAACATGCAAAGGTGTTGTTCACTCACAAAATTCTGTAATAGAAAAAGTGGATAGCAGCACCCCAACATATTTCAAAGTGGCTATTTTATTGATCCATAAAATCAATTACACAGAAGATGAACAGACTTCTAACATGTTTCATGCACACAGACACTTAGTGAGAAAATCCTCACCAGAATCCGCCATAGAATGACGAAGCGACTGTGTGTGTAAAACATGTTAGAAGTCTCCATTTATCTCTTATGTAATTGATTCTATGGCCACTTTTAGAATACGTCAGAGTGATGATATCCACTTTTTCTGCAACAGTATTACCAGTGACGAGCTGCGTGAGCACCTGACTGTGGCAGGCAGTTGTGGACCAATCTGGAGAAACACTATGGTTCATTGATGAATTCTATGATGTTATTTGCAATGAGGGCTCACAAATGCAGTCCCAAAAAGCTTATCAGAAATAGCATAATGATCTACAGGGGGCAAGCTATCATATCCATTCTCAACAGATTTTAGAGTTTATTTTATAATGTAGAAGAGAATGATGGGGTATACTAAACAATTTGAAACCAGCTTGCATCGCCCTTGTTTACACTTCCAGTCCTTCTTTTTGAGAATATATTCTTCACAGCATCATAATAGGATACACGGTTAGAGAGTGACAGAATGAAAAAAGAAGTCGAAAAAACATTTGTTTATTTTGGGGCTTTTTGCTCAAGCAATGTGTTGCAGCTTGTACCTCTGTTACCTCTTTAGATGTATTAAAAGTAGACAGAAAATTTGTTTTTAAAATCGGCCCGACTGACCTCTGAAGCTCCAGATATTGTCAAGCAATGTGTCCCCAAAATGCACAAGTGGAGTCATAAAGTTGTTTAAGTCTGTTCTTGACACTCTGCTCTTTGATTAGATTAGACAAAAAAATGCCCCTCTCCTCCCATTGGTGGGAGGAGAGGGGGAGCAGAATAAGCTGAGCTGCTGAAATGAAACTTTCTGCTGTAAAGTTTGAGGCTTTATTGCTCCACATTAGCATTAACTACAGGGGTCAGTAAGAGCCTATTTTGAAGCATATTTACTGCTTATTAAGAATGTAAATATTTGAATGCCCATAGCCTGGTCACAGTCCCACTCTAAAAATATATTCTGAATTTAACTGGCACTAAACATACATGCTCATTAAAAATGTATGAATGTTAATTTTTTTTCTCTTTTCTCTTCAGCACTAGTCTCTCTAACGGGAATTAGCATTTATATTGCTTATTCTGCTGCTGCATTTAATTATGCACTGTACTCCTTAGGCAGTGCAATTCTGTCTGAAATCGACATACGCTTTGGCTGGTCATTGGCTTTGGCATGGTTATCTTTCATAACAGAAATATTGACTGGAATGGCCTTTCTCCTGGCAGCCAGAGTTACTGGCCTCAAAAGAACTGGAGATCAGGTTATATGAATGATTGAGAGGACCCTACTCCCGACTGCATATACCTCATGGGAATTTTGCATATTGTTGTCTCCTTTCACAAGATCCAAATGAACTTTTTGAAATATACAACATGGTTTTTGTAGAATTCTGTCAAAAGTGTATTTTCTATTGTATATTTAACAGTGTGGGATGAACCATGTGGTGTTTATAACTTATGTCCAAAAATTCAGACAAAATTTACAGTTGACTTGTATTGGCTATTTTGTGAAGTAAAATTTGATGAATGTGCCTTGTTATTAGCAGTTTTACTGTGTCATATATACTCTCTATTTTCTCTATTTCTTTCACTATGACTGACTATAGACATGTATGGACTGTAAAGAAAACTTTTGTGTGATATGAAATATGGATATGATGACAATAAATGTTTTGTTTGCATCTTACTAACCTAGCCATTCATCTCCAGAAGTACTGCAATCAATTTATTACTGAAGATGCAACAGATTTTCACTCTAAACAGTCACATAATTAGGAAGAAGGTTTTATTCTATGCCAGTGCTACTTTAAAGCAGATGTGGAAGGAATTTCACATTTCTCTATTCCTGGAGAACTGGGCTGACTTCGCAGTCAGCTATCGGCTCAGGTCTGGAACTCACTGCCACAGGCGATGATTTCAGCAAAGAATGTGGAATTGTTCAAGAAACTTTTGGACAATTTCTTAAGGGACCGTAATATACAGGGGTACAGGTACTCCTAGAATGAGATCCTAATAGGTTGGACTTGATGGACTAATGTCTTTATTCAACCTCAAATACTATGTAAATCCCTTGCCATCAAATACTATGAATTTCTAATTCATACTGTAATACTGTACTTGTAATAAACCTGTCTCACTGCCGTGTTTAGCATTGCTTTGCCATGAGACAGAATTGGTAAATGTCCCCCATTGTTCATTAACTAGGAAAGAATGATCACAGCCCTAAGATACAAACCACATCGATCATGTGGTTAAGGATTTTATCACTCTGTATACATCCTGTGAGAAACCTACTTCTCTTAATCCTGTCCTGAAGTTAAGGTTGAACTATGGGCAAAACTGAACAATAACATATATGATTTACTCTGTCAATAGCTTACCAAAACACTGTTTCTGTAATTGCTTAAAAAGTGTTAGCTGAAGGCTAATGTGTTAGTCACTTATGTAAAGTCACCACAATTTCCTTTGTCTACGCATTGACTTTGTTGTGATATCGTTCTCAAAATGTATACTTGACATACCACCTTTTGTATTTCAATACTAAAATATTTACATACTGTATGTATATATGTAAGGGTACTGTATGTATATGTACATACAGTGTTTACAATATTTCAATGTATTTTAGTATGTGCAAAAAATATAGAAATCCATATAGCAGAACTGGTCAAGCAAGGTCATATGGAATTGAAAATCATTAATCATGGAAAATTATCCTGAAAATATACAATTCTTGGTTAATATAAAGGATCAATTATAATAAAGCTAGCTATTAGCATAGTCGTAAAAAAGACCAAAAATGTCTGCTGGAACATTAGTAAGGGCTTAAAGTGTCATATAATATTAGAAATATGGTAGCATTGCCTATTAAACACAAATGTTCAAAAAACCCCCCCAAAAAATAAGAATTGTGGCTGGATAAAGGTTACTAACAATGTATCGAAAATATATTTTTTTTAACAGATAATTAAATCACTGATGCATTGTCATTTGCTGCTTTGTCCTTAAAAACATGATAAATACTGTAGTTACATACTGGATAAGGTTGAAAAAAGTTCAACCTATGTGTGTGTTAGTGATGTCCCGATACCACTTTTTAAACACTAAGTACAAGTACTTCCCCTCATGTACTTGCCGATACCAATTACAGATTCTTTTTCTTAAAGGGACAGGTGACATTTAAAAAATCCAATGCAGACTAATGATTTCAGGCCAATTTCTTTATGATTATGAAGTACTTTAATTTAAGACTGTTTTAGAACAATACAACTTTTAATCTATTCATGTTTTCCACCGCGATCGCGTGGGACCGGTATTGCGGCGGGAAACTGTGCAATCTGATTGGCGTGAATTGAGTGCCATTAGAAAATAATGGCACTGCCAATGCGATCAGCTGTGGTGTGCGATTCCGTGACCGCCCAGCCATCCGCTCGGTTTGGTGCACGATGACCAGGCGGTCATGGATTGCACAACACCGCCGATCACGCTGCCAGTGCCATTATTTTCTAATGGTACCCCAATCATGCCAGGCAGATTGCGTGGTTTCCCGCCGCAATACCGCCCAGCCCGCGCGTTTATTCGCATGCAGATGATGGGGGCAGCGGGGCTGGTTTTCATATTTTTCAATTTTGTATTTACTACGTAAAATGTTTTAATTTTCATTAATTTTATTATTTTAACTTTATCTCCTTTTTAATTTTTTTACATTTTTATTTAGTTACATTTTTAATTAGTTATTATTTTTTACTTTTTTAATTTATTTATTTTTTCAACTTTTTTCACTTAACTTTATTGCTATCACCCCTGTGTAATAGCATTTGGAGGTGACAGGTACTCTTTATTGACCCTGTCACCTCCAACACAGGAGTTCTAGCACAGCATTTTGCTAGAACTCCTGTGACAAGAACGAGCAGCGGCCAGGAACAGAGGCTGAGAGAGGTGACAGAGCCTGTGACAGCTCCACGCCCCCTGCTCTGTCACAGCTTCACGCCCCCTGCTCTGTCACCGCTCCACGCCCCCTGCTCTGTCACTGCTCCACGCCCCCTGCTCTGTCACTGCTCCACGCCACCCTGCTCTGTCATCGCTCCATGCCCCCTGCTCTGTCACCGCTCCACGCCCCCTGCTGTCACCGCTCCACGCCCACTGCTCTGTCTCCGCTTCACGCCCCCTGCTCTGTCACCGATCCACGCCCCCTGCTCTCGCTTGCCCGGCGCCCGGAACTATATGTCCAGGGTGTCGGGCGATATGAATTCAACACCGATGCTCAAATATCGGCGTTATGCATTTGGTCATTTTTTACAAAAGTACTTGTGAAAATGCCTTGCATCAGTCCCGAATCCTGTAGTAGGAATTATGGGAAGATAAAAAAGGAATAGTCCCTATCTTGCCAGTGTAGTATCCTCCATGTGTCAAGGAGTTGAGTTTTGTGTAGAAGGGTTTTGAGCTCTTAGTTGTTTGTATGTAATGTGCAGCACAGTGGTGTAGTGGTTTGATTCCAGGTCACTATCTATGAGGAGTTAGCATGTTCTCCCCATGCTTGCGTGGGTTTCCTCCCACAGACATGCTTGTAGGTTAATTGCCTCCTGTCTACATTGGCCCTTGTATGTATGTGAGATAGGGCCCTTAGATTGTAAGCTCCTTGAGAGCAGGGACTGATGTGAACACTGTGTAAATTGTCGGTGCTATATAAAAACCTGTAATAAATAAAATGTGGGATAGGAGAGAGGATGTGTCTAAGAAAGCGCTCAAAAGCTACGTTTATATCTCCGGCTATACTTTACCTGAAGTGGAATCCAAGAGTTGTGTGGGTATTTGGGATAGAAAGGTACATGGTTAGGGCAATAGATGTGTTCATTATGTGTTACCAATGGAGCCTTTCAGAAACAAAAATCTCCCATAGTCATCTCCCAACATTTCTCAGAGCATGAAAGGGTTATTCTTTTGGACACCTATGGCATCACCCTTAGCTTTGTTGGTATCTCAGAAACCACTGGACAATGGTGTCATGTCTTCAACCTGGTCAGATTTTTTTTTCTTTTAACAACATTTTAAATGCAACAAAATAAAAGTCTCAATACAAGATTTGTCCCTGAGAAGTTTCCCTTTGACTCTCCTTGCCACATAAGATGGCAGTGTTGATTTTTTGGTGGTGTTAGGTTTCCATTAATATTTGTTCAGTAGTTCACAGGAAGTTGCCCGTGCACAACTAAGAAAAGTTTAACATTATGAACTGAGACTATAAGGGACACCAAACCCAATTATACTCACCTTGCCAGTGCTCCTGCACCACTCCTTCCTCTGCAGGTCAGCGACAACATCCAGCACTTTGGGGTATGGAGCAGCATACAACCTCCTCACTCTTTCATCACCACCACATCAGGTCAGCGATGCTAGTCATTTCATTGATGGCTTCAGTGGAGAACAGACAGGTGAGGGATCACTGGTAAGATAGGGGGTCATTGGGCCCTTTCTAGAGATGATGTCACTTTGCACTACATGGGCAAGGTGACAGTGTTTCTTTAAGGGACAAAAAACATGCACCATCATCCCTTTCTTGCCTGACATCCTTTCAACAGGCTCCAAAGTTAATGCCCTTATTTTTGGGGTAGCACTCGACTTCCATGCACAGTGACATGCAAGAGGAACTGCTTCTAGACCAGGGGTAGGCAAACTCTTCCCTCCAGCTGTGGTAAAACTAAAAATCCCATCATGCATCTCCCTCTTGAAGTTATAACTGTGGGTATCAGAATCTTGCAATGCCTAATGGGATTTGTAGGTGCACCACAGTTGGAATGCCAGAGTTTGTCTACTCCTGTTTTAGACCTTTGTCATGTCCATGTCGTTCTTAGGGACCGATAAAAGGAAAACCACCGAAACAAGCAAAATATGAACACATGCCTAGTATGGATATATTGATTATATTACTTACTTGGATGTCGAAGTTGGAACTTCCTTTTATGTTGGTCAGCATGAAGATCACGAGCTGGGACCCACGATCGTTCCTCTGGGCCGAAACCTTTCCATTGAACAAGATACTGCAATGAATTAAGTACTCGTCTGGAGTCAAGAATGGATTCCACTTCATATTTCTGACTGTCCCTAAGGTCCACAGGTTCTGGTAATTTTACTTGAAGACTGGAATGAACAGGTTTTAACAACATTGGGAATGCGCTTAGGTTGGGGAAATCTCTAAGGGTCCGATGAATTTTGGGCCAAGTTTTTTTACTTGGTACAGGCAAAGACAGATTCCTTGAAGATAGCCATACTTTGTCGCCAACATTATATGCAGGTGCTTTAGAGTGTCTCTTGTCAGCCATTCTCAGACTGCACAGAGCGAGTAATAGCATGATTAAC